CTGCAAACACAAAAAACTTGATTGTACTTTGAAATACAGTTACGATTTAACCTTAAATTTCAAATACATTTAGCACTTGAATGCACTGAACAGTACGGATGTGTTTATGAGTGCAAAATATGATTTAATGGTTAATCCGTATAATAATTATTGCAGACCTCAATATATTAATATATTCGCATTAAGTGCGAGTAATTGTAATACGAAAACATGAAATTATTATTGAATTAAATACATTTTACAACAACGATCTCAATATTAAGTCTTTTGAATAGAGAGTACCGAATAAACCAATTAATTGATAATTAAATAATGAAAGTATGAATTTGAAAATTAAATAATATTTATTTAACGCTCGCAAATCACTTATTAAAAAGTTTTTATCAAACTATTTATTCACTCATTTTAAACGAATTTATATATTCATTAAATCAGTGCACTTGTCATACAAATAGCGTAGAAAATAATAATAATAATAATACAATAAAACAATTAAAAATATAATTAATTAAATCAATAATAATAATAATAAAAGTTATACAAACTGTGTGTTTATGACTATTAAGCAAATAATAAAAAGTGGCACCAATGCTAATGAATATTCTCTTAATGTAATAAAATTAATCTGATTTTAATGGTATCCAAAAAAATAGTTAACAAGTCATATATTATGAGCAAAATGGTATTGGGTGTGAATTTGTGAATGGATTTTCTGAATGTGAAATTACATTATTATATTTATTTAATTATAATTATTATTAAGTTATTTATTTGACGTCTAATTAATTATCATTGAATGAAAATAATAGGAAATATTTAAATTATAATAAAAGGGTATGAAATAAATTTAGTGAAACGGGTAGTGGGAGGAGAGAGAGAGAGAGAGAGAGAGAGAGAGAGAGAGAAGTGGTGCTCAAGAAGTTAAGTACGATATGAAGAGGAATAATAATACTGTAATAAATGGCAAACAAGTAGTCAATACAGTAGTAGTTTTTATGGCGTGAATAATGATTGGAAATGCAATTTTGAATTGAAAAAATCAGATGACACAATGAGTTTGTGGTATATCAAGAAGTGGGGTAACAATAACAACAACAACATCACCAATAGATGGTATAATAGCACCTACACATCATAAGCACAATCACCGAGCAATCTAGTAAACCGTATTTACAGTATAGTCCCTATGCACGGGCCGGTAGTGTGACGGTGGTGGTGGAGGGGGTGGATGTGGATATGGTTGAGAGTATTCCTGTGGATATGGTGGTGGATGTGAGGGGTATGGACCTAATGGGTTAAGCACCGGAAACACCAATAGACACACAAGTTTTGCGTATGAAAAGAGTTAAACACATATTTAATTAATGCAAATATAATTAAATAAAATGTTTACTAATAAGTGAGAAGTAGTGAGAGAAATGAGATGAAAGACAAGAAATGTTTGTAAAAGTACTGAAAAAAGTATATTTATTTTGCGATGACTTTGTTTAGATGTAGTTTAACGATAATTATTTAGAGAAATATGATGTTTATTTATAATTGACTAACAAAAAACTTTTTTTTTCTGCACCGATATCTGTGCCAACAATATCTCGTACATCTGAACGCCGGCCACAAGCGATCGCTCCAGAAGTCCTTCCCTGCGCTCAGTAATGGTTGAGAGGGCTGTCAGTCCGATGGCCAACACAAATGCCGTCAAAATGATTAGTCCCGGAGTCGTGAAGTTCCTAAAGTTAGCCGCTTTTGAGCCATAGATTGGCGTTTCAAATGTGATTATCGGAGAGATTGCCTTAGGGTTGGGTCCTCCCGGTGCCGTCTCATTCATCTTTATCGCCCATCCCTTCACTATTCTCACCATAAAGTCGAGGTTTGCTTTCAATAGGGTTTGGAATAGGGTTTGAAAAATATTCAATTCTGTCGTACAATGAGATAATTGTATATCATTTGAATGCACTCTAAGTCCAAGTCTTATGCAAAGCAAAGCAAATACCCGTCAAATCTGCCCAAAGAGTTACAGAACTCTGTCTTATGATCTCATCCGAGACCTCAAGATTGACGGCCTGTCCCCTCGCCATCAGCGCTGTTGTGAAATTGGGTCCAAAGTATAGCTCGCCGTAAGTGTTGCCAACTTTCACCGATTTAAAGGCCGAAGCATTTGTTTTGTACTCACCTTTCTATACCAATACAAGTCAATAGTTATCGATATTTACAATAACATAGAAATTGCTAATTCTTACCAAAGATATGATATGTTTGTCGATCACATCAATAAACTGAAGGCTGAGACTGTCGTTACCCGACTCCTCATTAAAGAGTGCGATCTCTATGCCATGAGGTTTGCCTCCAATGCACAGACAGAACAAAGCCATACATACCATAGGAGCGACTAATTCCAAGATAAATAACCTTTTGATAGGCAATCAGATTGTCATTGAATTCTGTATTTCTATAACACATTAGCTTTTGATTACATTTTCTGTCGCCAGAGATCGAGAAAATTCTTTTCAAAGAGAGCTCTGAATCTCTTCATAGGATTCGGCGAGTTCTTGGTGTCGACCGACCCTTTGGTAGGTGTGGGCTGTTGTCGACCAGTAGTTACCGCTTGAAGAGCACCAGTGATTGCCTCGGAATCCCTGGTCTGAGCCATGTTGGGAGGCATCACCACATCCTTCAACTTCTCGTCCGCCGCGCGACACACCTTCAGGAAGACGTCCTCCAAATTGTCGGTCAAGAAGTGAGTCAACAGAATGTGAGGCGAGTTCTCCACCAGAATCTTCCCATTCCTCATAAGTGCGATGGCGTGCGCTCGACGACACTCTTCGATGTAATGCGTGGTAATCAGAATCGATGTCTTGTCCTCTTTGGACACATGCAACAAATGGCCCCAAATTCTGGTCAAAATCAACAATTTCTCTCTTCGTTTACATTTGTTTAAACACAACAACAGTTTGGTTACCGCTCTCTGAGTACAGGATCGACGCCAACCGTCGGTTCATCCAAAATAAGAAGCGGCGGGTTATGGATGATAGCGACGGCCAGAGATGTCCGCCGTTTCTGTCCCCCACTACAAGACATACGGATTAATACTGTAATGAGTTATTTGCGGATCAGTTGAATGCAAACCTCAGAACTCCGACCAATCGGCTACTGTCGGGTAAATCCAAGAACTTAATCAAGAATTCAATCCTTTTCTTCTTATAATCCTTTGGCAATCCATAGATCTTTGAGAAATAGTTTAATGTCTCAAATATAGTGAAACCTTCGTTGAGACAGATTTCCTGATAAATGAGTGAAAAGTATTTGTTTTAATAACTCTTTACACGAATTGTTTGACACAATAATGAAAACCTGAGGCATATATCCGACACCAATACCCGGGATATTGTTTATGGGATCACTCTGTTTGCGACCATTGATTCTAACGGTTCCACTGGACGGGTAGAGACGGCCGACAATGAGTTTGATTAGAGTAGTCTTTCCACAACCACTCGGCCCCAGGAGTCCATAACTTGAAAACAAATCATTAAAAACTAATTCATTTGAAAAGTAATGATAGGTTTATGAATACATAGCACTTCTCGGGAAAGTCATATTAATATTGTCCAACAGATATCCCTTTGACTTATCGTAAGTAAACTTCAAGTCTTTCAACTCAACGGATAAGTCATTTAAGTCCAGTTCCTCTAAACGGTTCGGTGGAAGGGATTGAAGGGTCGATGACATCGTCTGGGATTACAATTGACTCAATGAATGAGTTTTAGAGGTATTAATCAATTGAAATGAAAGACAACTGAATACAAGAAATCAAATCAAAGAGATTTTCTGATTATAATAGCAATAATTGAGGGAAATTTTGATTTGAATTTTATTTACAGTTCAATACTTTGCGTGCATTTCGACTGATTATAAATTGTTTCAAAATTGATAATCAATTTGCTATTGAATTGAATACATATAAAAGTAATTAAAACATTATTGCATTCATTTTATATCTCTTATAAGTGAATGAGATTTACATCTGAATGAAGTGAAAATCAAATGAAAACATGATTTGAACGAAAGGCTCACCGAATGTATCGTTGAATAAGACTTACCAAACATTTACAGCCAAAGGGTTCGCATTCCGAGTGTCAGTAAACTCCTCGTCGACGACAAGATCCAGGAGTTCCTGAATACCGACCCCTCAAAGCGATTAAGTCTTGAAAAGTTTGTTCACAAGTATAGGTCAATGCAAACCCAATATCCGAGACCACAGCTCAAGACATAGTCATCAGAAGGAGTGGTGGACACGAACTGAGACACAACCACCGGATCAGGTCCTGAACGGCCGCTTCCCATGCGCTCAACACATCGATAACCACTCGTCACCTATCAATCCATCCATTGGTCTCATACGTGAAGATGAGGTCCATTTGTGATGCAAACGAAGACTCTTCTGTAAAACCAAACTTTCAAAACACAAAAGAGTAATCATTTTATTGATTACAGAATCGGTGACTAATTATAAGAATTGGTTTTACTTTGTTTTGTAAATTAAAAATAAAACTAATTTAATATTTCTTTAACGTATAATTCATTATAAAAAGTATTAATTTTTCTTTTAATTTATCAATTAATCATTGAATTGAATCATTAAAATATACACCAATTATGATGCAAATGTGTTTATAATGTTAAACCAAATAAATTTCAATACAAATACCGTAAATAATTTGAATACAATTAACTTACAGTACGAGTGTTAGTATTGTACTTAACTTTATTATTTGAGCAAAAATTAATTCAATTGAATATTCAAATGATGGTACAATTAATCACATAATTTTAATATCATATTAAAAAGTACTTAAATTATCCGTATATTTAAGGCAATTAAAAAATTATATATAAACCATTTGTCACGATAAATATAAAATTATTTCCAAAATTATATACTTTAACAAAAATCTCAATTGTAAACACAATTAACTAAAGCTAAGGCTATTCTAGTCTACAAAATGTGAGAACTCTATGTTTTGAACATTTATTTCATAGACTTTTCTAAATGACATATTCAATAGTAATTGCAATCATTTGTACAAAAAGACTAAATTTCTTAAATTATTAGAGGGTTTAGTGATTAGAGTTCGTCTTTTACTGGCTGTCTATCGGGAATATCCTTATAATCGGAGTTCACTATAATGTGGTGATAATAGTTGACTGTTTTGATATAGTTATCAACAGTTATGCGTTCGTTATGTCCATGAAATCTATCAAATCATAAACAATTCATACGTTAATCATGTGTCCAAACAATTGGCATTCAATTTGTTATACCTTTTGGTGTCTTCAGGGAATAAAACGGACGGTGAGAACCGATATATGGCTGGCGTTAAGTGTTGATACCATCTAATGATTGTATGAATTGGTCATTAAAATCAGACAAATAATACTTGAATTCATGTGAAACCTGGTGTCAGTGTTGGCTAACATAATCCCGGGCACAACCACTGTATCGTTGAATACTTGTCTAATACTTCTTCTGATTATTTGATACCCGAATGCGTTGTCATCGTATGGGGAGATGGGATGTGGATGTATGGGAAGGCCTTCAATGGCCAGCTCTATGCGGTCGTCGCTAATGAGTCGGCGATCAAAGTCAAGCACTTCATCGACGGTTTGCTTGACATGAATGCGATGATTGACATAAGCGGTGGCTGAGCTGGGTAATACATTCTCCTACCGGTGCCCACAAACACAAACATTACTTTCCCATACATTCAACTCATAAACTAATTGTCACTGACTTTAAACCCGCCGCCAATAATAGTGACTGCACTGGTAGTCCGCACCAAACCATTAGCCGCCGGCTTTGCACTCAATATTCTTGAGAAAACGGGTCCAAAGAGCCATAAATTACTGTAAATCCAGTTATAGGGGAAACGGGCCTAAAGTGGACGAGACATTGAAAAAGACAATTAAAAGTCATTCGCAAGACTTCACACAAACTGACGGTTGGGGCGAAGGCTTCAAACAAGTCCTTCTCGGGTCCCAAACCAAACATATTCGGGTGAACTGTCGACTCAAACCTGTGTTTTTACAATTAAAACAGCAATTAATGTCTAAATCAAACAAAACACAAATAACACTAACTTTGAGACGGCTTTCGCGAGAGTAGTGATGGCTGTGTCTACCGGTGCCATCGACGAGTGGCCCACCTCTCCCTTAGCAGTCATACGGACGGTGAGGTAACCCTTTTCGGTGACCCCTATCATAGCTACCAGTGCGTCGACGCCCACGAAAGCCTTATTCAATATAATGGTTCCCTCGTCCAGGAGGTACTCCAGTCGTTTGACAC